CTTAATTACCAATAGGTTAACAAATAAAATGCTCATGATTTTTGTTTATTCGATTTTGTTATAAATAACAAAATTAATTTCTTTTAATAAATGATTATACAAAATTGAAACGTTTTAAGGAGTGTTTAGGTATTCATGGAATTACTTTCTTCTATAAATAATAATGACTCTTCGTTTCAATTTCTCTAATCTATAATATTTTAATTCTGCTTTTGTTTCTGTGTAGAAGTTCTAATTTCTCATATACTATTAACTACTGACATTATTTATAAATTAAGAATAAAATTTGTGAAACAAAATTAAAAATTTTAATCATTGCAAAACTAGATATAAAATTGTTGGTTTGTACGTTTCTTTTAAAGATAAAAGTTTTAAGTAATATTAATAAAAAAAAATTTTTTTTTTACGTTAATAATTTAATTTTACAGTTGAAATTTTTTTTTGTGTGAATAGTTGAATTTCAAAAGGTTTCACATTTAATGCATGTTGAAAATTTAATTCATATGCACAAGGATATCAAAATAAATGTTTAAATATTTAATTAACAAAACTCATTGTGACTTGAAAAATTTTATTTGGAGATTGCAAAAATTATTTATTGAAAAATGTAATTAAGAATGTGAACTTGGTTTAACGTTATAGCCTTAGCTTAATTTTAGTCCATACAGTCTACAATGTTTGTTCGGTGATGTTCCCGCGTGGTCGGTGGTGACTGCCATGCTCGGCGGTGGCCACTGGCAAGTACTTCGCGCGCTCGGTAACGACACGATCGGGAAAATTGGTCGCAAATACCACAGAAATAAACCGATTTTTATCTAGCGAGTACTATATTATTCCTCGGAATCATAGTTTCAACATTTTTCCCTACTCTCGTTTGTCGTCTATCTTTAACGGAAATGCCTCAAAAAGTGACTCTAAAGTTGGGCGCTCCGGAAACGACTTTTTAGGTACCCTGCTAGTAAAAATTTGTTTTTCTTTACCTACTGACTTTTGTTGCTTCAATTAATAAAATAATTCTTTCTTAAACAGAATGCTTTGTTTATACTTAGACAATCTTTTAAATATGAGTGGCAATCATGCGGTCGGCGGCGTTCTCGCGTGGTCGGCGGCCGCTGGCAAGTATTTCGTGCCCTCGGAAACGACACGATCGGGAAAATAGATCGTAAATACCACAAAAATAAACCGATTTTTATTTAGCAAGTACTATATTATTCCTCGGAATCATAGTTTCAACATTTTTCCCTGATTCTCGACTGTCGCGAATTTTCAACGGAAATGCCTCAAAAATGACTCTAAAGTTGGGGCGCTCCGGAAACGACATTTTTGACAGTGAACGTGTGGATACATATTTTAACTATAAAATAGAATAATAATAACTAAAGCAATTATTGTTAGTGATAAAATTTACGTCCTGCGTAAGATTGGCAAAGTCTATAGGTTTACTTTTTCAACCACCGCGCGAAGGCTGTCCGTCAGGCGGCTGCTATGGTCGGCGACTTTCGTTGAGCATTCGTGCGCTCGGCGAATGGTGCTACTGAGAAATTGTTAATAAGTCCCCCAAAATAAAGGCAATTTTTGTTTAGGGCATAGAAAATTGTTCTCTAGAGCCACAGCTACAACTTTTTCTGTATGGTCAATTTTCACAAAAATTGTTGCAAATGCCTCAAAATTGGCTTTAAGGTGGAGCACTCCGAAAATGGACCTTAGTGGTATTAATAGTAAAATTTTGTTTTTCTAAGCCATATCTTTTTTTTTTAATTTATTTTTACTCATTTTTATTTATTTAATAATTATATTACAACACACATCACAAGTTATATAAAAATCAAATTATTAAAATCTTAGTCTGAATTTTCCTTCTCAAAAGAATCCATAAGTAAAGGTCCAGTTGCAATATCTTGTTAACAATTAATTATTTTATCGATTATTTTTCTATTCAAATCATTAAATTTTTATATAACTCTTGATATGTATTGAATTTAAACAAAATTAGTTTTAGAAAAATTCTATTTCCTCATTTTAAAAATTATATTTTGTTCTAATATTATTTTTTTAAAAAGAATTATAAGTAAAATTTGAAAAATAATTATTTGTTTTCGCCTAGTATATTATTGTTGTTTTATGTATAAAGAAAATCATTTTATTATTCAAATTCGAAATCGTCGTTCAACTTTGTTACATTTATTGGTAGGTGGTTACTTCTTTTTGAAATAATATTACATTCCTTTTACCAAAAGTGATTTCCGAAGAAAGGAGATTTTTTTAAAAACATGTTTTTCTGACTGCTTTTATAATTAATTTTATTAATAATTATTTCTGTAAATTTTATATGGAAATTTTTTTCTTTTACTAAAAATTTAGGGGAGAGTAGGCTACATTGAACCAGCGTCAACAGTGAACCACTTCAATTTTCTGAGAAATGACTGAGTGAAATTTTTTCATATTTAATATATAAGTTAGTTTTACTGAAACAAACTATGTCCAAAAATTTCGGGCACGTAGGTTTATTATTTACAAAGAAAAACTAAAAAAACTGTTTTTCACGTACAAAACAAAAAATTTGGTGGAATTATAATGACGTTTTTTTATTGAAATAAGTTTTAAAAATTAGTAAACTTGCGATTTATTTCGCTTAGGGTGTCAACTTCAATATTCCGATGTGATAAAGAACTTTAAATCTTACACAAATTTATTATAAACAATTTTTGTTGTGAATGTCATGTGAATACAGTGAGTGCGGCATCATTGAACCACCCGAAAAAGCAAAGAATTTTCAATTTTAAGAGTTGTAAAATTGTCTGCTCTACTAATTAGTAAGAAAAATACTGGAAGACATGCTTTCATCACAATTGTGAACGAGATAAACTCAAACTGTCACTTTACCTACCTAACCTGACATTAAAATACATTAATCTCCTATATTTACAAGTAATAACAATTAAATAACAATTTTCTATTTTTTTGAGTGGAAAATAAGATTTTTTACAATGTGTAAGTGGAAATATTATTTTTGAAGTAAATTGTAGTGTTTTATTAGAGGTGGTTCAATGTAGACACACATCCTTCAAAATATGAAAAGTGTGACTTGTTAGAAAAAAATTTAATTTAATTATTTAATCATAATAATTTGTGTTTGTAACGTGTGTATTAACTAAAGGAGTACTTCAGCTTAATTTTGATACAAAAACCTGATCGAAATTAGTAAAATTTTATTAGTTCTTGGACTTTATAAAATACCCGGTTCAATGTAGCCTACCCTCCCCTATGTTATTTATTTTTTCGAATTTACAAGCTTGAAATTAAAAGAGGTTATTGTTTGACGTTAGCCTAATTTTAACATTACACCAAACAATTAATTAGAGTTCTCCTAAGCTGTTCACAAATAAGCAGAACAAGTTCTTATAAAACATTAAATTCAATATAATAAAAATTGAGCCATAAAAATTTTTTTTTTATGAAAAAGAAAATGTTTATAGTTAATAATGACACAGTATAATAAATACGATGAATTAATAAAATTGAGAGTTTCAGAATTTTGGAAGTAATATTTTATAGTATAAGGAACTAGTAAATTTAGAAACATAAATAGTTCCAGAAAAGTAAAAGGGCAAGGTATGTTACGACCCGAGCTAAGGGTTAGTTTAATTACTAATTAATTAGTAAAATGGAGACAAGTTGCTGATTAGTCAAGTTGGTAAGACCTGACATTTATTTTTAGTGTGAATTCGTTTTGACTTTGAAAGAACTACGGGTTCTCGTTAAATAAACATATGCATATTCCCTTTTTATAACGTTTATTCATTAAACAATTTGAAGGTTAACAGAATTAATCTTACTTACGATTTTGAAGTTTGGCGATAATGAAATTACAGAATGAGCGGCAACCAGTTATGCGTTGTTGCGTTACAGGTTACAGGATTTTATGAGCTTTTCAGTTCGTTTCTTTTGACACTTTTAAGCACAAAAGAACAACTATTTGAACAATTATTTAACAACTCTAAGTGTTCTCTCACACACTGTACCTTAATACAAAAGAAAACTTGTTTTCTTAGTGTTTTGGAAAGAACTTGCACTAGTTTTATAAAATTAGAAAGAGAATATTAAATTGAATTGTTATACGACGAAAGTGTTATTAGTATTTCAATTAGTGCGATTTATTCCCTTACTAAAAGAACAAGTCTTCTTTAACACTGAATTTACTACTCAATTTCACGATCGAAGGGCCGACTCAACGATACCGTTCGGGCAGAAACACACCGGAATATTTGACATCTTGACTGTAGAAAACAGGGGTTTATATAGTAGCTAATAGACTACTTGATTGGGGATGAGACGGTCAAAAAGCACGTTCCTGTGCTAAAATGTAGAAGTCACGTACCCACGCTAAAATGTATAAGTCACGTACATTTGCTAAAATGTAGAAAACACGTACGAGTTGGATCATCAATTATTCGATCATAGACAAGTAATATGACACTCGCTTTTATAATAATTTGTTTAAACATCTATATACTTAGTCATCTTTACATGCGCTCATAATTTTAAATCTAAGACTCTAGTGTCCAATTTAAGAAACTTCTTGTGCATACATTATTTGTCTTGCTTATGATAAGCAAGCGACAGTCGATTAATTACCATGGGTGTAGATAATGAATCGACCGCCGCCCACACAACACACATCTCTAGATCACGGTCGATCATTACATCAATTGTCTTAGATGGTAACTCGTTTTCGCAACTTACTAATTTATCTTGCAGGACTTCCATACTCATAGAATATACATATATATACACATATATATATATATATTTATATATATCTATATATAGATATACATGCATTGAAATTACACATACACATGTTTACTTATATTCATAATTTAGTTTTATTATGAATATAATTATAAATATAAATAATTAACTCATAATTTAATTTATATTTTATGTTATCATAATTATAACTTATTTGATTAAATAATAATAAAGTTATATCTCGGGATGTAACAGTCCTCCCTCCTTAGATTATTTATTGTCCCAATAAATTTTGTTTTTAACAGGAGCATGAAATATGAGTCTTAATCAAATTAGTGTGATATTTTTGTGTCTATGAAGGAGTGTAAAAGAGCTTGTGTAATGTTTTGTCTAGAGACGCGCTATGTAACTTATCTGTTCTTCTGAGGTAAGTAATTTTTGATCCTTTTGAACTTTGAAATCTTCCTTCATGTGTGGAATTTTTGTTGTTGTCATCATTTTTGATCACGTAGTCATCATGTCGGACCTCGAGAAGTGGTTTGACTTTGTGTGTCCATTAGTTTGTACTTGCATCTTCATCATGAGTGACCGTTGCTCTTCATCAGCTTCGACAATTATTTATGAAGATCATAAGGAAAGGGCAGTGTCAAGCAGCATGCCTTCTACTTCTTTTGTTCAAGGTGAGTAATCATTATTTGATAGGTGTAGTGACAGTTTGATAAGATGACAAGTGATAACTCTGTAGACATTATTGATTTAATAAATGATAATTCTGCAAGTGGTGCACAATTTGATGAATCCATTTTAGAATTTGATTTATCAGTTTTTAAAAATCCTTCGACTGAATCATCAGTTTCTGTAAATAACGTAGTTTGTGATACTTCTTCTGTTTCAAAATTAGTTAATCTTTCTCGTAGATTACGTCGTGTAGAAGAATTTCTAGGGATTTTTCATTTAGCTTTTTGGAAAGTAAAATCTGTTGATGCAGTAAAAACAATATTTACTATTTGTCGCGAACGTTTAAATTTAAGTGTCAAGGAAACTGATTTTGAAGTGATTCAGTCCTTAGAGCCTCGACGTGGTGGTGTTTTATTGAAATTATCGTCTTCAGTTTTAAGAGATACAATTTTGTCAAAAGAACATGAATTCTTACGAGAAGGTTTTCGTGTTGCCGTTGATTAATTGTGAATATTACACTTTACGATGATGACATAACATTTGCTAATTAGTAATTGTGTTATAATTTCTTTTTCGTTATATTTCAGATGAAAATAAGGATGGTGTTTTGGATAAAAATCCGCAGTTACAGGAATTTTTGAATAAGATCATGAACTTAACTGTGTCGATAATTCATGATCTACAGTTGAGTGAGAGTATTTACAGAAGAATGGAAGAGAAGCCAAAGAGGGGTCGTCCTCCTAAGGGATCGAATCATATTGCTGCTCCTGAGTTGAAAGAGATACGAAAGGATCAACTATTACGTCTCAGAGCTAATTCGATTCGAGAATCTCATGAACTATATAGATCAATTGCAATTTTTGCGGAAACTCCAAATGTTCCTCAGGATAATGAAAGGTAATTTTACTTTTGTTGTTTGTATTATCAAATTATAGTTTTTGTTTTTGTTCCCATTAATTTTTCTTAATCAAATTCTATTTTTAGTGTAGAGAATGAACGCCGCACTGGATGTTCTTGTGAGCTTGCGAGGCAACACTGCATTTGTTGTTTAACGATTCTGGATGCCTATCATTTTGAAGAGGGTGCTAATTCTCAATGATTTGTTTGAATTTACTTTTGTTTTGGGGTTTCTCCTTTTTTTTTTTTTTTTTGATATAATAATAATTATTGAGACAATAACAAAATTTAATTATTGTAAAATTTATAATGAATGTAATTGTAAACAATTATTTAATAAACAATTTATCATTACCCGTTGTTTCTTTCAATTGTTACTATTATATAAAAATTATTATTATTATTTATTTATTGATTTTTTTTTTTTTTTGTTTTTTTTTTTGTTATAAATTAACGTAATTTGTAGATCTTGATAACATAAAATACAAATTTGAATTTTATCGCTTAATTTAAGTTGGATATATAGTCTCTTGTATAAGTTTCATATATCGTGACAATAGTTGAGTCAGCTTTTAGTTCGCTTCATTGATTTTGAAACGTAGCGCTGCGGATGTTTTGAGAGTTAAGATTATTATTGATACACAAGTAAGGAGACATTCGAATGGCGTGCAAGGTCGGTGCGCGTACAGGGTGCGCCGTAACGACGCGGACATAAGGAGAGACAGAGAGTACATGTCGTATGATCTCGCGCTACAGAGTCGATGCTGCGATCGATGTACGGGTGACGTCACAACAGACGGCGCGTACACAGTAGAACGTCTCGTTGTTGAATAGTCGGAGAGAGAGACAGAGTATGCACGTCGCCTCGTGTCTCGCGCTACACGGTCGATACTGTGGTCGATGCACGGGTGACGTCAGGGCGGTGTGTAACATTAAGCTCTGTGCATGGTTGCAATTATTTATATATTTTTTGAAATTTTTGTGGGCAATCCTCCTTCCTTAAAATGACCGTTGTCCTCAATGGTTGACTAAACATGGGATTGGTTGTTTGATCGACGTCGTCGCATAGATATTACTTTATAGCAAATATATAGATTTTTAATAACTATTATTGCTAGTAACAATAGTAATAATTTAAATGCGACGGAAATGTAGTCCATTGCTTCTGAGATGGATCCAAGGATGGGAATATTCATCTGTGAAGTGAATTTTGCAATTAATATTTTGTATTTTTAAGTGATATTATATAGGGAATTTTGATTTTAAATTTTCTAGGGATTTTTAATGTTTATAGTTATATATTGATTTAAAGTATTTATTTGTTATTTATTTTGGATTTTACTGTTAATTATTGTTATTGTGATGTAATTTGTGGTATATTTATTATTAGTGGGTATTATCGATTAAGATCTCGAACAACGATATATCGATCGATATTATTTTTCGAGTTTCATAATAAAATTAATGTTTTTATCAATAGACTGTATTGACTATCGATTATTAATTTATTTTATTATTATTTACCTTATTTTAATGATATTTATTGAAAACTTTAAAAATAAAGAGGAAAGAAGAAGGCGACCTCCAAATCCCCTTCCTTCTTTTTCTCTCGTCTTTCTTTTTGTTTCCTTTTTATTTATAATAATTTAATCAATACAGTATATTTGTTATGTGATTACTAGTTTAATATATATATATATATATATATATATATATATATATATAATGTGAGTAATATATTTTATTGGCTATTATAGTTTTGTTTCTTATTTGTTTATAATAATATGAATACCTTATTATTATTTAATTTATATGTTAGCTTAATTTTTAATTATTTTTCATATTATTATTTATTTAGATATATATATATATACACACATTTATGGATTATTGGTAATATTATATTAGAGTTAAATTGCCATTCCGTGTCGTGATTTTTATGTTAAAAAAAGGCTTCTGGGGAATCCCAGTTTTCAGTAATAATTTGGGTGTTGTTTGGATTATCTATAGGTGTTCCTGGGATTTCCCAGAATTCGTCGATGTTAGGGGTGTTTTTATTGTCTGTAGGCAACAATTTTTTATTTCTTATTGGTCCCGTGCATCGAATTTTTGTGTGCCCCCTTAGAAAGCAAAACTCGCAGCAGTTAGTCCATTTATGAAGTTTAAGTTTTAACTTAGTAGGGTCTTCTGGTGTCATAACGTATGTCGGTCTTTGGTGATACGGTTCTTTTTCTTGTTCAGAAAAGTAATAAGTGTCGTCTAATAACTTTAAAATTTGTCTAGCAGTAGTGTGTTCTCCATCTTTTATCTTTCTTTCGTTTCTAGACCTAGCAACAAAAACATTATCATGATTTGTGTCTTTCACAGTGCATTTAATATTATATCGCCTATTGTTTGGGGGTCCAGATACGGATTCTACTGTATAAATCGGTTTTGTTAAATCGTATTCTGCTGTAAACTCTTCTAAAATTCCTTTTGGAAATTCAATCGAGTCGATGTTTCCTTTTGGAAATATGTTTTCATGGATGAGTTCTCCATTTAATGGAGGTGTTTTGAGGACCATTTCAGCCATCTAAAAACATAAAGTTGTGTTATTATACTTATTCGTAAGCAAGTTTTAGTTTGTCTATATGTTTTTGAAACCTTTGACCTTCATTTGTAATTAAAATTGCGGTATGTTTGTCTAAAATATCGACGATTTCGTATGGCCCGTGATAATAAGGTTCAAATTTGTTTTTCTTAACTTCTCTAAGGACATAAGCTTTATCTCCTACTCTTCCTAAAAAGGGCTTTACCTTTTTGTCGTAATTTTGTTTAGATTTATGCTTAGATTGTATGAGGTTTTTCGCGGCCAATGTTTTTATTTCTGTTAGTCTCGATATTAATTCTACTAAGTAGGAACCGTAAGTTTCGAGTTTTTCTTCTGAAGGAAATGAACTAGGGGTTCGCGCTGTTTTTCCGAAAATTAATTCGAAAGGAGTGAAATTCGTTGCTTCATGAACAGATGTGTTATAAGCAAACATACAAAAGGGTAATAATTTGTCCCAATCGTCGTAGTTTTCAGAATATTGTTTTAGAAAATCTACAAGGACTATATGGCTTCTTTCTAAGCTGCCGTTTGTTTGAGGTCTGTATCCTGAAGTTGTAACTTGTTGAACTCCAAAGATTTTAGATAGTTTTCTCATGAGTTTACTTATAAATCCTCCTCCTTTATCAGTTAAAATCGTCTTAGGGGCTCCATATTTGGAGTATAATTCTGCAGCTACAGCATGTGCTATTGTTGTAGTTAAAACATCAGGGATTGCTACTGCAATGCAATATTTCGATAAATGGTCTTGCATGGTAAGTATATGGCAATTACCATCAGGAGTTGTAGGAAGTTTTCCTACTGTATCCAAGGATACTTTGTCAAAGGCGTCCAGTGGAGTGTCCGTAATTAGCATTGGCTCTCTTGTTTTTACTCGAACAAGTTTTTGTTCTTGACAAGTTGGACATTTTCTTATGAATTCAGTTACTTGGTTCTTGAGTCCAGTCCAGAAGAACTTTTCACGTATTCTTCGATAGGTTTTTGTCACTCCTTTATGTCCTCCTATTTTGCTGTTATGGTATTCTTTAATTATTTCCTCTCGAATTTCTTCTTTTGGAATTGTAGCTTGACCATAACATATAGTGACTTTTATGGCGCTATTTTGGAAAATTGTATCTAATATTTGTAAAAATTCTCCTTTTATTAATTCGTCAGTCAGGTCATTTCTTCTGGAAATTCTAATCTCCTTTAAATTTTCGTTTTGAAGAATGGTTTTTAGTTTTTGTAATACATCAAGGACATCCTTCTTTATTAATGGATCAAAATGGTTGTGTTTCACTATTAAAGTGTAAATATTATACTGTCCTCGAGGAGTAATTAATATTTGTCCTTTTTGTGGGTTTTTTAATTTTATTTCTTGAGGATCAATTGCTCCGATGTCAATGAGTAATCTTCCTACAGGAGTTATAAATTCGCAATCGGCAGACAGGAAATGAGCGTAATTATTTCGATAGTAGGTTAGATTTTCTCTACAACTGTTTACGTTCGATGTTAAGGATTCTTTTATTTTGTATTTTATTTTTTGAATTTCTGGTGGAATGCTATCAATGGAAGTTTCTAATTTTGATCTAATTGTTGTTTGGTTTTTTAGTGGTTCGTTATCTGATGATTGGTTTTCTTCATCTGCTTCTTCAGATTCAGATGTTTCTTCTTGTATTGTGGGATGTTTGAAGGGTGTTGATATTGCAAGAGGTTGATTAAAGCTTAAGGGTGTTATGGATCTTCTAGTTTGATCTGCAAAAGTTACATTTTTTCCTTTATTAACATCCTCCATGATTTGTTTCTTTTTACTTATATTGTCATTTTCAATATTTTGAATCATGTCGGTTAATTCCTGTATGTCTTTATGAGCACCTTTTAGAATTTCGTTTAACTTTTCTGCAAAATCTGAATGACTTCCAGGTATATATTCGTTTGCTGCTTCATGAATTTCAGGGTCATCATTTCCAACAGAGACATTAAGCCAATCTCTAGGTGCTACTTCTTTTTCCGTTAACCAATCTTCATGTTGAGCCATTGATTCATCAAATTGGGCTATTGATTTTTCTAATTCTTTTGCTATTTCTTTCCTTGTTTTTGGAATTTGTTGTTCTTCTTCTTCTTCTGAACTATCTTCGCTTCCACTTAAAGGTGGGCTAACTATTTTCACTATTTCTTTACTCGTTGTTGGTTCTGTAATAAATTCATATTGTTCGAAAGGTGCAGTCGGGGGTGCGCTTTTTGGTGCATATGGGTCATAAAGCGGTGTAGGTATGACCAAAGTAGGTAGAACACTTGTGCTCTTTTTACGTATAGGTGGTTGTTCTCTCTCATCGGAATCAGAGCTTGAGGACTCATCTTTCGTGAGTTGTGTTTTTAAAGGTCGGGGTTGTAGTTTATTTCGTTGAGCGACGCGTTGTGCAATAGTACTTTTTTCTAATAATTTTGTATTTGTGGCTATTTTCTTTGTAGGTTTCATAATGCTTTTAATTTTAGTTGGTTGTTTGAGAGTTCTTTCTTTTTGTGTTGAAGTACTAGCAACTCCGGAACTTGTGGATGGGGCTGCAGGTTTAGAATTCGTAGATTGTCTTGTGTTTACAAGGATTCGTGCTTGTTTTATTGTATTTGATTCTTCCACTGTAGTTTCAATGGGATTTCTTGA